GGGTGATGTTCTCCCCCAGCAGGGTGAGGTTCTCCCCCAGCAGGGTGAGGTTCACCACCAGCAGGTTGAGGTTCTCCCCCAGTAGGGTGAGGTTCTCCCCCAGTAGGGTGAGGTTCACCCCCAGCAGCGTGAGGTTCACTAACAGCAGGGTGAGGTTCTCCCCCAGTAGGGTGAGGTTCACCCCCAGTAGGGTGAGGTTCACCCCCAGCAGGGTGAGATTCACCACCAGCAGGGTGAGGTTCTCCCCCAGTAGGGTGAGGTTCTCCCCCAGCAGGGCGAGGTTCTCCACCAGCAGGGTGAGGTTCTCCCCAGCAGGGTGAGGTTCTCCCCCAGCAGGGTGAGGTTCACCACCAGCAGGGTGAGGTTCTCCCACAGCAGCGTGAGGTTCTCCCCCAGCAGGGTGAGGTTCTCCACCAGCAGGGTGAGGTTCTCCCCCAGCAGGGTGAGGTTCTCCCCCAGCAGGGTGAGGTTCTCCACCAGCAGGGTGAGGTTCACCACCAGCAGGGTGAGGTTCTCCACCAGCAGGGTGAGGTTCTCCCCCAGCAGGGTGAGGTTCTCCCCCAGCAGGGTGAGGTTCTCCCCCAGCAGGGTGAGGTTCTCCCCCAGCAGGGTGAGGTTCACCACCAGAAGGGTGAGGTTCACTACCAGCAGGGTGAGGTTCACCCCCAGCTGGGTGAGGTTCACTACCAGCAGGGTGAGGTTCACCCCCAGCAGGGTGAGGTTCACCCCCAGAAGGGTAAGGTTCTCCCCCAGCAGGGTGAGGTTCACCACCAGCAGGGTGAGGTTCACCACCAGCAGGGTGAGGTTCTCCCCCAGCAGGGTGAGGTTCACCCCCAGCAGGGTGCGGTTCACCACCAGCAGGGTGAGGTTCACCACCAGCAGGGTGAGGTTCTCCCCCAGCAGGGTGAGGTTCACCCCAGCAGGGTGAGGTTCACCACCAGCAGGGTGAGGTTCACCCCCAGCAGGGTGAGGTTGTCCACCAGCAGGGTGAGGTTCACCACCAGCATGGTGAGGTTCACCACCAGCAGGGTGAGGTTCACCCCCAGCAGGGTGAGGTTCACCAACAGCAGGGTGAGGTTCTCCACCAGCAGTGTGAGGTTCACCCCCAGCAGGGTGAGGTTCACCACCAGCATGGTGAGGTTCACCACCAGCAGGGTGAGGTTGTCCCACAGCAGGGTGAGGTTCACCACCAGCAGGGTGAGGTTCACCACCAGCAGGGTGAGGTTCACCACCAGCAGGGTGAGGTTTACCACCAGCAGGGTGAGGTTCACCCCCAGCAAGGTGAGGTTCACCCCCAGCAGGGTGAGGTTCACCCCCAGCAGGGTGAGGTTCACCACCAGCAGGGTGAGGTTTTCCACCAGCAGTGTGAGGTTCACCCCCAGCAGGGTGAGGTTCACCACCAGCAGGGTGAGGTTTTCCACCAGCAGTGTGAGGTTCTCCCACAGCAGGGTGAGGTTCTCCCCCAGCAGGGTGAGGTTCACCCCCAGCAGGGTGAGGTTCACCACCAGCAGGGTGAGGTTCACCACCAGCAGGGTGAGGATCACCACCAGCATGGTGAGGTTCTCCCCCAGCAGGGTGAGGTTTACCACCAGCAGGGTGAGGTTCACCCCCAGCAGGGTGAGGTTCACCCCCAGCAGGGTGAGGTTTACCACCATCAGGGTGAGGTTCACCCCCAGCAGGGTGAGGTTCACCCCCAGCAGGGTGAGGTTCACCACCAGCAGGGTGAGGTTCACCACCAGCAAGGTGAGGTTCTCCCCCAGCAGGGTGAGGTTCTCCCCCAGCAGGGTGAGGTTCTCCCCCAGCAGGGTGAGGTTCTCCCCCAGCAGGGTGAGGTTCTCCCCCAGTAGGGTGAGGTTCTCCCCCAGCAGGGTGATGTTCACCCCCAGCAGGGTGAGGTTCACCACCAGTAGGGTGAGGTTCACCACCAGTAGGGTGAGGTTCTCCCCCAGCAGGATGAGGTTCTCCCCCAGTAGGGTTAGGTTCACCGCCAGCAGGATGAGGTTCTCCCCCAGCAGGATGACGTTCTCCCCCAGTAGGGTGAGGTTCACCACCAGCAGGGTGAGGTTCTCCCCCAGTAGGGTGAGTTTCACCACCAGCAGGGTGAGGTTCACCACCAGCAGGGTGAGGTTCTCCCCCAGCAGGGTGAGGTTCTCCCCCAGCAGGGTGAGGTTCTCCCCCAGCAGGGTGAGGTTCTCCCCCAGTAGGGTGAGTTTCACCACCAGCAGGGTGAGGTTCACCACCAGCAGGGTGAGGTTCTCCCCCAGCAGGGTGAGGTTCTCCCCCAGCAGGGTGAGGTTCTCCCCCAGCAGGGTGAGGTTCTCCCCCAGCAGGGTGAGGTTCTCCCCCCGCAGGGTGAGGTTCTCCACCAGCAGGGTGAGGTTCTCCCCCAGTAGGATGAGGTTCACCCCCAGAAGGATGAGGTTCTCCCCCAGCAGGGTGAGGTTCACCACCAGTAGGGTGAGGTACACCCTCAGCAGGATGAGGTTCTCCCCCAGCAGGATGAGGTTCTCCCCCAGTAGGGTGAGGTTCACCACCAGTAGGGTGAGGTTCACCACCAGCAGGGTGAGGTTCACCACCAGTAGGGTGAGGTTCACCCTCAGCAGGATGAGGTTCTCCCCCAGCAGGGTGAGGTTCACCACCAGCAGGGTGAGGTTCACCACCAGCAGGGTGAGGTTCTCCCCCAGCAGGGTGAGGTTCACCACCAGCAGGGTGAGGTTCACCACCAGCAGGGTGAGGTTTACCACCAGCAGGGTGAGGTTCACCCCCAGCAGGGTGAGGTTCACCACCAGCAGGGTGAGGTTTACCACCAGCAGGGTGAGGTTCACCCCCAGCAGGGTGAGGTTCACCCCCAGCAGGGTGAGGTTCACCCCCAGCAGGGTGAGGTTCACCCCAGCAGGGTGAGGTTCACCCCCAGCAGGGTGAGGTTCACCCCCAGCAGGGTGAGGTTCACCCCCAGCAGGGTGAGGTTCAGTAGTGGAAACCGGGCCAACGACCGGCAATTTTGATTTTTCCCCATGTCGGTACTAGGCCCCTGCCATTTCGCTCAAAGGGATTAAAAAGCCGGTCTGTGAGTCGTGTGTTTTGCGTTAGCCCAATGGTCCTGAAACCTAATGTACAATACCGTCATCTGTAGTCTATTTTAAATCTCCTATCTACTTCCAATCTATATTAAGTATAGGAATGAATGAACCCCCCCCCCCCCCCTCAGCCAATTGCATGTAACAGAGGGGAAACAACACAGAGCATGAACTATCATGTATCTCAACGTTCACCCCTGTGGTCGATGCAATATTTACCCAGGTCTTTTCCCTAAATCTAAAACGTATTCAATTTATACCCCTTGTTTGAGTTCTGTCTCGTGTTGAAACTTTTAATAAGCTATTAATATTCCCCTTTGTCATGTCCATTCACTCACACCTCTATCATATTACCCCCTATTTCTTCGCCTCTCTAGAGAATGTAATTTAAGCTTTGTCGATCTTTCTTCAAGGATTGCTTATGGGGCATAAGGTGAATATCAATGAAAATCCAGTATCACCCATTTTGTATGAAACAGACCCCTACCCCAGACACGGTGACTTCAACAGGGGATTCAGTAGTAATCCAAATATATAATTTGAGAAAAAAACAGGCTTCACCAATTCTCTGACAGTTTTATTTAATTCCTTTTCACTGCTATTCCTATGTACGTCTCTCAGTCGCTCAAAAACATGCCCCCCAACACCTTATTGTAGTAACAGGTGTAGTAACACCTTACTGCATTGAGTAAAAGCGGCCTCGCGTGTTTTGAAAGAGACCTTCTGCAGTTACCTTCATTTTGATATTCTGATCCCTAAGGCGGTTTGATCCACCAATGGATGCATTTGCTTTCAGCCAATGTTGTACATGCGGTTCCTATGATGGTTACACATTAGTACAATCTCTTAATCTCTCTCTCAATACCTTAACTGTACTGTTGCACCCTCAATTTGGGTGCGACGGGAGGCGGTCTTTTGATCCCCTTGAGCTAAATGGCAGGGGCCAAGTACCGCCAAGGGAAAAAATTGCCGGTCATTGGCCCGGTTTCCACTACTATGGTCTCCCCCAGCAGGGTGAGGAAGGTGTTACTTGGGCGAGGAGCAGCAGTTGGCGAGGTTCTCCCCCAGCAGGGTGAGGAAGGTGTTACTTGGGCGAGGAGCAGCAGTGGGCGAGGTTCTCCCCCAGCAGGGTGAGGAAGGTGTTACTTGGGCGAGGAGCAGCAGTGGGCGAGGTTCTCCCCCCAGCAGGGCGAGGAAGGTGTTACTTGGGCGAGGAGCAGCAGTGGGCGAGGTTCTCCCCCAGCAGGGTGAGGAAGGTGTTACTTGGGCGAGGAGCAGCAGTGGGCGAGGTTCTCCCCCCCAGCAGGGTGAGGAAGGTGTTACTTGGGCGAGGAGCAGCAGTGGGCGAGGTTCTCCCCCAGCAGGGTGAGGAAGGTGTTACTTGGGCGAGGAGCAGCAGTGGGCGAGGTTCTCCCCCCAGCAGGGCGAGGAAGGTGTTACTTGGGCGAGGAGCAGCAGTGGGCGAGGTTCTCCCCCAGCAGGGCGAGGAAGGTGTTACTGGGGCGAGGAAGGTGTTACTTGGGCGAGGAGCAGCAGTGGGCGAGGTTCTCCCCCAGCAGGGCGAGGAAGGTGTTACTTGGGCGAGGAGCAGCAGTGGGCGAGGTTCTCCCCCCAGCAGGGCGAGGAAGGTGTTACTTGGGCGAGGAGCAGCAGTGGGCGAGGTTCTCCCCCAGCAGGGCGAGGAAGGTGTTACTGGGGCGAGGAGCAGCAGTGGGCGAGGTTCTCCCCCCAGCAGGGCGAGGAAGGTGTTACTTGGGCGAGGAGCAGCAGTGGGCGAGGTTCTCCCCCAGCAGGGCGAGGAAGGTGTTACTTGGGCGAGGAGCAGCAGTGGGCGAGGTTCTCCCCCCAGCAGGGCGAGGAAGGTGTTACTGGGGCGAGGAGCAGCAGTGAGCGAGGTTCTCCCCCAGCAGGGCGAGGAAGGTGTTACTGGGGCGAGGACCAGCAGTGGGCGAGGTTCTCCCCCAGCAGGGCGAGGAAGGCGACGATGGAGCCCACCAGCAGGAGGTAGAAGGCGCCCTGCAGGTGGTGCAGGCTCAACACGACGTCTTTGTCGTTCTGAGGAAGTTTTGGTAAAAGTTGAAGTCAAGGGAAGCAATGATGATTAATTTTGCTTTATATCTTCTGTATTTACTGAAGATAATTTTAATAACATTTTCGGACTTTAACGTTTCTATATAACTAACAATAATTCTTTCGATATATTACAGTTGATAAATTAGATGTAAATTTAATGCAAAAAAAGCTAGACATAAATACCACAGCGTGCCATGACAAATTTTGGCCAAAAATATTATTTGTACTAAAAATTATATAGTAACTCTTAGACCATAATTGTCTATAAGTCACTTGGGAAAAGAACAATTTCACGAGAACAGAAATGTGTAAATGTCACACTAATACATACAAATGTGTGAATGTCACACTAATACATACAAATGTGTAAATGTCACACTAATACATACAAATGTGTAAATGTCACACTAATACATACAAATGTGTAAATATCACACTAATACATACAAATGTGTGAATGTCACACTAATACATACAAATGTGTGAATGTCACACTAATACATACAAATGTGTAAATGTCACACTAATACATACAAATGTGTAAATGTCACACTAATACATACAAATGTGTAAATGTCACACTAATACATACAAATGTGTAAATGTCACACTAATACATACAAATGTGTAAATGTCACACAAACACTTACAAATGTGTAAATGTCACACTAACACTTACAAATGTGTAAGTGTCACATTAATACATACAATTATGTGAGTGTCACACTAATACATGCAAATTAAAAAAGAAAAGTTGTAATATTTGGTCAATTATCTAGATGGTAATGGAAAAATAAAGTTGTGAGGAAATTGGGCAACATTTCTAATCTCCATTTAGTAGGAGACTCCAACATGGTTTTCTTATCAATTTGATTTTCTAATTCTCAAGAAAAGAAAATCGGTAGACAATTATATATGCATATTGAAACCATTTGATAAAGTTACTCCTTGGTAATTTCGTTGAATACAAAAAAGTATATGGAAAAGTCATATATATTAAGTTGATAAGAAAAATTATCTTAGTGAATGCAATTGAGGTATAATTCATTTTGGATATAATCTGTTTAGAATTTAACTTCACTTTTTATTTATATAAATGTTATTAATAATGCCTTATGCTGAACAAATTAAAAGTGAAGCAAAGTGAAGACAGCAACTGAACGACCGTAACTATACACCGTCTTAAACATCTCTGTATATTGACCAGATGAGTGACAGATGCCAATAAATACGAAACAAAGCATATTTTAGACGAAAATAAATAGGCAAGCTACTGGATAAGCAATAAAGACTTGATGAAAGTAGATGACGAAGCAGCCCTAGGACTGACATTGGCTAAGAATCTGAGGCCAAGTATCCATCAAGACCGTAAAGAAAGACAGTCAAGTGTTAAATTGCTTTGTAGAATTTTTCTACCGAAGAAAGTCAGTTTTACTCTGCACAGATCATTAGGTCGGCGTATACTAGGACTCTGCATACAGTATTGGACACCGTATATGGGAAAGGATAGTGATCAGTGGCGAGGGGAAAAATTTAATAAAAATAAAATATAAGTTATTTAAACCTATTAACAAAAGTTTTATGGCTTCAGTCGTCAAAAAAGAAGAATAGTAGGCAATTTAATCAACAAATTTGTCATTAAAAGAGATGAAAATCTTTACACAAAATTACTGAAGTTTTGCAATGTTTAACATCACTCGAAACAGTGACTAAAATTAAGGGATATATTATTATCCTTATTGTCAAAGGAAAATTATTTATCTTTATTTGTATAGTAAAGCATTGGAGCATTATACCTAATGTTATAACACAGTGTAATACAATGTATATATTTATAAAAAGAACCGATCACTACAGATATTCAAGTTAACTCTTCACACAGTTTAAACACTAAGATTCTCATAAGTACGTTACCAGTTTGCATATAATGGCTAGTTCCTGTTTCAAGCCTTTTGTATTCAAGTTAATGTGGCTTAACAATGTCTGAGGACCTAATGCAAATTAATGACAATTGTGTCTGTTTTATTGAAAGAACAGATGTTGTAATGCTTATGAACCCGAGCATGAAAACATTCAAATACACACAGAGTAGCATGACGAGAAACATTAAGGGGTTAAAATATTATTTAATTAATTGTTCCATACTTGCTAAATAATTAGCGCAGAGTAAATCCAACCGATCACAGAAAAGATAAGGTCTTTATCGTCATTCCTTGTTATATGACTACTAGCTGTACCCGGCCACGCGTTGCTGTGGCTCAGCAACGCATGAATGTTGCTGAGCAAAAGCAACCCTCCCACAGTCTCCCATTCCTCTCCACAATTCCGATATCCCCCGTCCCCTCGTCCTTCCAACCATTCCTCACTCCTACATCCCCTCGTCCTCCAAATCATTCCCCACTCCCTCGTCCTCCCCACAATACCTCCCTCCCCCATCCCAGTATCCTCCCCACCATCCACCACTCCACTGTCCCCTCGTCCCCTTACTCCATCTCCCACTAACCCGTCCCCTCGTCCTCCCCATTATCTGCCCACTTCCCAGTCCCCTTGTCTTCCCCCAACAGTCCCCATTCGCCTGTCCCCTCGTCTCCATCCCCAACTCCCCCGTTCCCCTTGTCCTCCCCGCCATTACCCCCTCCCCTATCCCTTGTCCTCATTATTTCCCCCCCCCCCCCCACTGCCGTCCCTCGTCCTCCCAACCATTCCCCACTCCCTCGTTTGATGCATTACCAAATGATCTGATGTTCCCATCAGAAAATCGGATCATCAAATGATCTGATGTTCCCATCACTGAAATATAAGAAAAACAATTAAAAAAGAAATGAAAAACAATGGAAAAATAAGAAAATAAACTATACTCACGAAATGAATGATATGGTAAAAAACAAAGCTCAATTCCAACGCAACGTAACATAAAATAATTAAATCAAAATAAAAGTAAATCGAAATAAATGATAATTCAATTTATCAATGAAATCAGAAACATTGAAATGGAATTGACACATATTTAGTATAGCGTAAGTTGTTCTTCCGTGCAACAGATCTTATGCGCTCCTGTAATCTGTTTAAAAAAAAAATCATGTTCTTACCTGTCGTAGCTGTGGCATCTATACTTACACTTACGAAATGAACGGTATAGTAAACAACATAGCTCAGTTCCAACACAATGTTACACAAAATAATTAAATCAAATTGAAAATAAATCGAAATGAATGAAAATTTAATTTGGCATTGCAATCGAAAACATTGAGATGCAATAGTACCATATTTAGAATAGTGTGTTTGTGGCTCTTACATGCAAACAGATGGCGCTGTTTCTTAAAAAAAAATGTTTTTACTTGTCACAGGTGTGGCATCTATTCCTATACTTACAAAATGAACGGTATGGTAAACAACACAGCTCAATTCCAACACAATGTCACGCAAAATATTTCAATCAAATTTAAAATAAATCGAAATCTATGAACATTACATTGATCAATGCAATCAGAAACATTGAATTGGAATTCATAACATATTTAGAATAGCATGTATGTTGCTATTACCTCCAACAGATGGCGCTGTTTTTGATAAAAACATGTTTTTACCTGTCACAGGTGTGCCATCTATATAGTAGGTATATAAAAGCACGAGCATATTTGAATGGAACGTTGTGTTAGAATTTCAAACTAATCGGTGAATAACTTTGTGAGATAAATGCTTGTGTTGCTCTTACGTCCAATGGATGGAAATTTTTGTTTTTTAAAGCAATTTTTTTCCTGTCACAGGTGAGGCATGTATATAGTAGGTATATAAAAATACGCGCCTATTCGAATGCAACGTCGTGTCAAATTTTCAAAGCAATCGGTAAAGATGTTTCGAAGATTTCTCTCACATGAAAAAACACATGAAAATACAGTTTAAAAAAAAACATGTTTTTTTCCGTCACAGACGTGACATCAATATAGTATGTATATAAAAACCCGCTCGGATGCGAATGGAATATTGTGTGAAAATTTCAAAGCAATCGGTGAAGATCTTTCGGAGATTAGCGATTTTAAACAAACGAATATTTCCATTTTTATTTATATAGATGTATTAATTTAAAGTGCTTTTTCGCTTTGATTGTAATATCGTTCTAATAATTCCTTTCCGATAATCTCCTTATATTAATGTACTAGTTCCTAGCTCTGTTCCATCTATTCCTGTTGTCCTCTGTCCTTTGTCTTCTACATTTCCTCCTGCTTCTTATTTTTCCTTCCTGGCACTGTTTATTAAACCATTGATTATTATATTCTCTTCTACCTTTTTCCCTCTTATTGTTGGAATGGAACTAACTTTGGCCTCCTTGCATTTCTACTTGACTAAGTCCATCATATCATGTACAGTATTTCCTCTTAAGTTCTTCCTCACACAGCACGTCTCACAGATATTCTCTTATCCTCCTGTAATCTCCTCTCCTGTAGTCTACTCTCCTTTCCCAGACCTCTTGTCCCGTGGTCGCAATTTTAAGCTCAATAATGTAGTCAAAAACTAGGACACAATGACCAATGGCTCCTAGTGGAATTTCATGTTCCATATTCGCAATGTCTTCCTCATTCTGGGTGAAAATCAGGCCTAATAGACTCTTTGTTTCCTTCATTCAGATACTTCCTTATCCAGTTTAGTATTTTCTCAGTTATCCCAACCTGTTTCTTCATCTTGTACAGCAGTCTTTTATGGGGGAAGTGTCAAATGCCTTTTGACATTTTAGAAAAAATAGTCTATCCAGCCTTCCTTTAATGTCTATATTTAGTAACCTCGTCATAAAACTCACTCAGGCTTGTCAAGCACGATTTTCCATTTCTAAATTCATTGTGATTTTTCGTCACAAAGTCGATCCTCTCAAGATGCTCCGCCATTCTCGACCAGATTATTTTCTGCAGCACTCAACAAGGAATATATGTCAGTGACAACGGTCTCTAGTTTAATGCGTTCATTATATGCCCTTGTCAGATCTGCAT